CGAGCAGGGAGCCCGATGCGGGACTCGATCCAGGGACTCCAGGATCATGACCTGAGCCAAAGGCAGTCGCTTAACCAACTGAGCCACCCAGGCGCCCGATATGAGCAATTCTTAATCTCAGGAAACAAACTGAGGGTTGCTGGAGTGGTGGGGGGTAGGAGGCATGGGGTGGCTGGGTGACAGACATTGGGGAGGGTATGTGCTATGGTGAGGACTGTGAATTGTGTAAGACTGTTGAATCACAGATCTGTACCTCTGAAACAAATAATATATGTGAAAAAAAGAAGAAGATAGTAGGAAGGGAGAAATGAAGGGGGGGAAATTGGAGGGGAGACAAACCATGAGAGACTATGGACTCTGAGAAACAAACTGAGGGTTCTAGAGGGGAGGGGGGTGGGAGGATGCATTAGCCTGGTGATTGGTATTAAAGAGGGCACGTATTGAATGGAGCACTGGGTGTTATACGCAAACAGTGAATCATGGAACACTGCATCAAAAACTAATGATGTAATGTATGGTGATTAACACAACATAATAAAAAAAACTATGCAAAAAAAATCAATATGCCAAAGTGGTGTATTTTGGGTCTGGCATATTCAGCTCCTCTTTACAAAACTATAGTAGAAAATCACAATCATCATATTAATGTAACCACATTCAAGATACAGAATATTTCCATTCCTATAAGGACCCCTCATGTTACCCTTTTGTATCCACACCCAATTCCTTCCATTCCTTATAATCCCCTTCCCACTGACAATTACTAATCTGCCCACTATTTCTATAATTTTATCATTTCAAGAATGTTGCTTCTATCAGTGGTTTGTACCTTTTCACCATGACATAGATGTTTAACCACTCACCTCTTGAAGAACATCTGATTATTTCTAGTTTGGGGCAGTTACAAATAAAGCTGCTATGATTATTCATGTACAGGTTTTCTGTGAACGTGGGTTTTTATTTCTCTGGAATAAAATGTCTGGGATGGAATTGATGGGTTATAAAGTAGTTGCTCGTTTAGTTTTTTGGACCATTTTCATTCCCACAAGAACATGTGAGTGAGCCAGTCTGCATCCTTGCCCACATTTGGTGTTGTTTCTACTTTTTATTTTAGCCATTCTCCTAGATGCGCTGGGAAATCTCATTGTTTCTAGCCCCAAAGCCCCTTCGGGACTCTGTGGGAGAAATATCTGTCCCACTGTTCTCCCTCCAGCTTGTTCTGGCCATTCCCTGAGCACAGTTGTCTGCCACTGCCTGGACATTGTGCCTTGACTGTTATGTGAATAGGAAGCAGCCTTACTTGAATTTCATTTTGGAGGCACCAGACTCCTCCAGGGGTCCTGTGATGGGATGGGGTGGTTCTTATCTCAGGAGTCCCTGACTGTTGGGCAGAGGTGCTCCCTTCTATGTCCTGGGGCCTGGAGTGTCCATCTGTGCTGAGGGCAGAGGGGCTCCATTCTGTGTTCACCAACCCTTAACACCTATCTCAGTCTGTTTTGGCTGCTACAATGCAGTACCACTGACTGGGTGCCTCATCAACAACAAATTTATTTCTCACAGTTTTGGGGACACAGAAACATTCAGACTATAATATTCTACCCCTCGCTTCCCAAAATTTATGTCCTTCTTAAATGCAAAATACATTCATTCCATTTCGATAACCCTAGAAGTCCTAACTCATTCTAGCATTAACTTAAAAGTCTGAAGTCCTCAGGCTCATCTAAATAGCATCTAAATCAGATATGGATGAGAGTGAATATGTATCTGGAGACAAATTTCTCCCAGCTCTGAACCAAAGATGTTGAATGTGTGAACTCAGATGTGCTTCCAAAATGCAATGGTTGAACAGGCATAGGATAGATATTCCCATTACAGAAGGGAGAAATAGGAAAGATGAAAGGATTGATGGGTCCCTGGCAAGTTCAAAACCAGTAGGGTCCTGCCTTCACTGCTTTAGGTAGCCCTGCCCTCATGACTTTGCTGGACACACCCCATTCTGCAGGCTGGAATCAAAGGCCCATGGCTCTACTGGTCTACTGCTGTACTGGGCATTGCCCTAGTAGGGGCTTTCTGCTGTGATCTTATGCTCTTGGTGGTCCTATGCCTGGGTCCAAAGCCTAGGGCTCCAGGGGGTCCATTCTTCAAAATCTAGGTGGAGAAAGCCATGCCCCCTGTGCCTTGTTGGGTGCCCTAGGTCCACTGGAGCCCACAATGTGAAGCAGTGCCAAGCGGCATTGGCTCACCCTTTGAAATCTTTCTGCCATGTAGGCCTTTGCACTCTGGTCCTAGAATGGGAGGGGCAGCCCTGATGATCTCTGAAATACCTTCTGGGCTATTCTTTCACTGTGTTGGATGGCAGGTCTTGGCTTCTGTTTAGAAGCTGACTATTCTCCCCATTGTCTTGGTGACTAGCTCCTAGCTTCTGTTGAGATGTCAGATCCAAACTGATAACCTTACCAAATTTGGCCATGCCCTTTGTGTTCTCTCCTAAATAAACTTTCTCATTTCTTTCAGTTTGGATAGGCTGAGAATTCCAAATTTTAAAGTTTGGCTTCCTTTTTGATTAACAATTCCATCTTTAAGTAATTTCTCCCTTCTCTCATTTTACTCCAAGCACTGAGGAGTAATCAGGCAGCACTTTCATCTCTTTGCTTAAAAATCTCCTCAGCCAGTTAGCCAATTTCATCCCTTACAAGTTCTACCTTGCACAAACTAAGATACAAACACAATTCAACCAAGTCCTTTGCCACTTTATAACAAGGATCACCTATTCTCCATTGTTCAATAACATGTTCCTCATTCTGTGTGAGATCTCCTCAGAATGGCCTTTACCGTTGATATTTCACCAACATTTTGTGTTCACAACCACTTAGGTATTCTCTATGAAGACTGAGGCTTCTCCTCAGACAGCTCTCCTTCTGGGCACTCACCAGAATTGCTTTTAATGGTCTGTTAGTAGCAATGTAGGCTTTTCTTGGTGTGCGCCTCCAGGCTCTTCCACCTTCTACCCATTACCCAGTTCCAAAGCTGCTTCAACATTTTTAGAGATTATAGCAGTGTCTTCACTTCTCAGTACTAGTTTCTTAGGGCTGCTATAGCAAAATGCCACAAACTGAGTGGCTTATAAATGACAGTTCTGGAGGCATTAGGTGAGGGCCTTCTTATGGGTTGCAGACTTTCCATTGTATCCTCACGTGGTAGAAGAAGCAAGAGATCTCTCTGGATCCTCTTTTATAAGGTCACGAATCACATTCATGAGGAATCTGCCCTCATGACCTCATGATCTCCCAAAAGCCCACCTTCTAATACCATCATTTTAGGGATCAGAATTTCAACATATGAATTTTGGGAGGACACAAACATTCAGACCACAGCAGCAAATATTAGCATGATACAGTTTTAGAATGTTCCATCACCCCATAAAGACCCCTAGGGCCCATTTGCAATCAGTCTCTATTGTTACCTCCAGCCTTAGGCAACCCTGATCTTTCTGTCTCTCTAAATTAACCTTTTCTGGACAGTTCATATAAATGGAATGACACAATATGCAGTCTTTTGTGTTTGACTTCTCTCACTTTGCATAATGTATTTTGGGTTCATTCATAACATAGCATGTATCAGTAGTTCTATGTTGTAACATATACTACTTTTTCTTTATCCACTTACCATGGATAGACATTTGGAATGTTCCAGTTTTTGTCTATTTTGAATAATATTGCTATGAACATTTATGCTTTATGTGAATTATTAAAAGATCAAGGCATAGTAAATTTTTAAGAGTTTATTTGAGCAAAAATTTGTTTGAATTGGGCAGTGCCAAACTGGGAGTGCTTAGGAGTGCTCTACCAACAGGAGGTATGGGAAAGACTTTTACAGGGAAAAGGGGAAAGCGTAGCAAGGAAATAATTTGTTTAGCTATAGCCTAAGTGTTTGCCATATTTGGGAAGTCTAGTTGGCTGTTTATGATGAGTTGTCCTTAGATTTTGATTTCTTAACCTTGAGGCATTTATTATAGGCTTAGATTTTGGTTTGCTTAGTAGGCTGCTAAGGTGTTAGAGCCACTTCAGTTTAATTGGCTTATTTAATTAATTTAATAGGACATATGTTTCATTTCTCTGGAGTAAATTCCTAGGGGTTGAATTTCTGATTATATGGTAATTTATTATTTAACTTACTGAGAAACTGCCAAGTTTTTCCATGATGGCTGCACCATTTTACATTCCCACCAGCAATGTTGGAGGGTTCCAATTTCTCTGCATCCTTGCCTTTCTTCATATTTTGTCTCAGAAATTCCATGTCCATTTGAATTATAATTAAACAGAAAAAGTACTTTCATGATTCAGTGATAACACTGAAGTCTCAATTAGATTAAGTATTTGACAATATACCTTTGGTTTAATAACAGTCTCAGTAATGGGGCAGAATTGATTTATGTTGTGGAACTAATGGTCTGGTTGCCTAGGGATCATATGGTAAATAATTAATGACAATTTACTGCAGGCTTCTTTATAGAACATACTGTAGCCTTCTGCTTCTACTTCTGGGTCATCTAATTATTCAGGAAATGAAATCAGCTTTCTTTAGAAGGCAGACTGTGCTATTTGTGTGTGACTGAAACAGCAAGACCCATGATTTATTTATTTTCTTAATAGATATCGTACAGAATGGCTGACATTAATGGATACAAATAGCAATATAGGCTTTTGTGCATTTTAAACCCCTGTGGACCAGAATGAAATAATTTCCTGCGATCTTTTCCAGATTGTTCACAGAACCCTGGCAGCCATGTTGGGTTCCCTTGCGGCATTAGCAGCGCTGGCTGTGATTGGAGATGTAAGTTGTAACATTTTGAATCAATGGCTTACCACTCCATAGGGTATAAGATTTAAAGACAGTCTAGAAATTAGGTGTTAGCTGGTGATTTTCATTCTTTCATATACTCTTTCCACATTTCTCCCTCAGGAACCATGCTAGAAGCATGAACTAATAAACCTTTCAACACTGATGAGTATTTTTCATTTGACTTTATCACACACACATTTTTTATTCCCCATTTTGGTTGAGGAAAGGCTCATCATGGTCACTCATTTGCCCCAGGCTATATAGCTGAGTGGTGTTAGGGTTGACTTGGTGCTGTCGGCCCTTGGGAACTAGAGGGGGTCATCCTGCCTGGAGCAGAGGTGATAAATGGTGAGGTTGGCACTGTCTTGCAGACACCAGGAGGTCCCTAGAGATGTGTGTCTGGGGGTTGATGGCACATAATCAGTGTCTGTGTGTGGCTTGTCTGGCAGGAACATAGGAGTGAATGTAGGGAGGCAGGAGAGGCCAAGCACCCACTGAAGATGGAGGCCTGCCATTGTTTGAGGAGCAGTACTGGAACCGAACAAGGTGGCAGCACACAGAAGTGGATTTGTAAACGACTCTATAGAATTCAGAGGAACGTTCTGCAAAGCGCTACTCTAGGCCATCCAGTCAACCAAAGAATAATAACTGGTTTAAAAAACTATGTGGAGCTATGTTCAGTTATTATTTATTTATTTATTTATTTATTTAATTTTTCTTGGCTAGAGTTGGTATAAACAAATGCTAACTCTAGGGTAAAATGTCCCAGAGTCCTAAAACTTATACATAAGCCACTGTTACTTTTATTAACTCTTAAGTAGTAGTATAGTAGTAGTTATTTTATTTTAGAAAACGTTAATGTGGCACACAGCCTGTGCTGTGGTTAGCATCCTGGGCCACTGTGCAGTCCTTTCCCAACAACTAGAGTCTTAAAGTGCCCTCGCTTTACACTCCATGTTCCCATTTCCCCATGACTCCAGCCTTCCCTGCTCTGCAGGGTTGTTAGAAGATGAAGTGAGAGTGGACGGACAACTGGCGAGTAGGACAAGTGTGTCCTTCAGTTATTGCCATCCTGGCCTCATGCTCCAACACCAAGGAAGGCATGTGGGGACCTCACAACCTCAAGGGTCAATCCTGCAATTCAGGATATAGTTCTTCATGGAGTTGCCAGGGACAGGATTTAAGAAATTTGCTTTTCTTATAACTAAATGCATAGGCTTGACATTATTATGCCTTGGGTCACAAGTGGTTTTCATTGATGGTATACTCTAATTTCAAAGGCAAGGGGATGGTGTGATTTTTGACTCTGGCCCAATGAGTGGGCTTGCCATAAAGAATAGCACATTTTTTTTTTACAGCCTGTCACCAAGAAGATGATGCCCAAGATTAATTGGGAAATTTGTGCTTTGATTGCAGAGACCCAGCCTGACCCATGTGGTGGAGTGGATTGATTTTGAGACTTTGGCCCTGCTATTTGGCATGGTAATTACAGTCCTCCCAGTGGGACAGGGCTCCCAGCCTGCTGTAACCCAGCACCTTCTCTTTTGTTGCTACTGCTAATAATCTTTCATTATATTAAAGACATTGTACTGCTTGACAATTAGGGCTTGATTAAGAAGTGTTAGTACAGGTCTAGAAAATTTCTCCTGTGGAGGAATGGAATGATTGGTGCTCTGGTTAGTTAGGTGGAGAATTGCAGCCGTAGGCCTGTCTGGTAGTTAAATAATATTGCCATTTAAAAAATTTAGCAAATTTTTAAAATGGCCTTAAAGTATAAAATTACTGCTCTTAAAATATAAAATGGAATATTCTAAATAAGTGAACCATGTAAGTTTTGGTGATTAGAAAAACACTCCTGTAATTACATGGAAAATGGAAGAAATTGTCCCTAAGGAATAGTTTATGTGTCATAAACTGATTTAACTAGAATAAGTGAAAATTGATAAGGGCCTGGACGGCAGTGGGAATGCTGCATGTGTTCTTGAACAGACCCACAACAGCTACGTGGTCTGAAGGAGGGTTTTCCCTTTCTGGACAAAAGACCTACTTTGCATAAAGCAGGTTACTATATTTCCGCATTTTTCTTGGTAATGTTTATTCCTCCTGGGTAGTCATAACAGACGGCCATGCTACTCTAGGCTTTAATGTGATCCAATCTAGCTGCCTCCTTTCTGAGTAGAGTGTAAGGAGACAGGGCAATTCTCTGAACTTAGGCTTTAAAGAGAAACTCATAATCCTGTTGGTCCTGAAAAGTATATAGTGGGGCCTGCACATCTGGAAAGAAGAAAGAAGATATAACAGACGTCTCATAAAATAAGTTTAAAAAAAACCTTAGGCAAGTGTGTGTTTACCATTTTGTTAGTATTTGAAATGGTTTGTAAAAAAACACCTTAAATGGATGGTGTATTAGTTTGCTGGGGCTGCAATAATAAAGTACCACAGATTGGTGGCTTCAAAAGCATAAATTTATTTCCTCACACTTCTGGAGGCTGGATTTCTGAGACCAAGGTGTCAGCAGGGTTGGTTCCTTCTGAGGCCTCTGCTTGACTTGTGGATGACATCTTTCCCCTGTATTGTCACCTGGTCTTCCCTCTGTGTGTGTCTGTGTGCTATCTCCTCTTCTTATAAGGATACCAGTCATACTGGATTAGGGCCTCACTTTAACTTATTCTGAGGTACTGGGGTTAAGATTTCACCATAGGAATTTGTGGGGGAAAGTAGCACAATTGAGCCCATAACAAATGGTTTAGTTTTTTTCTCAGTTGATGTCAGTTCAGCAAGATTCTAAAACTTTGGATGTGGAAAGATAGTTCATATATCCAGGCCCCTGCCTTTTCTTCTTTATTTCATGGCAGTCAGCCACCTATGGGGCTACTTACCCCAATCCCTGAGTATCAGTCTCTTCTGGGTAGTTTTGGCAGCAAATATGTGGGCCAGCTTCCCCACAACAATGGAAGACCACACAGGACCTACCCATTCAATTCAGTTCATGTGAAGCATCTACTGGTGAGTGAAGCACCACATTCTACAGACAGCAACAGGTGGAGGTGGCCATTTGGGTTAGGATAAACATCAATGGTCACTATAGATGAGATAGATATTTTTATTGAGTCTAAACTGATTTTTGGAAATTTTCATTTTATGCAGTATATTTGAAAGACAGTATTGGGCCTACTATTTTCTAAGTACTTTAATTTACATAATTTTATTGAATTTCTACAATAGTCTTACAAGGAATAAAACATTTAAAGTTGAGGGGAAAAAGCTGAAATACAGAGGATTAAATAATTTTGTTTGCACAAGGTTAAACTACTTCTAAGTGGCAGAATTAGTACTTGAACCTGCATCTTCTTGCTCCAAGTTCAATGCATTGGTATATTGCCATCTTAGGAGGTATAACACATAATCATCCAGAAAGTTCTGGCTGGTTGAAATATCTGGTTGATTAGATTTGGAGTAAATGGGACATTACTTTTTGTTACTGTCTCTTATGTCATCACTAGAAAGAAGCACAAGTTCTGGGTTCATATAGAACCCAGAGAATAATCATTTCAATGTAACTGCTCTTATTTGCATGTCTTGATCAAATTGGTGATGAAAATCTGTTTCATTATTTTAGAAAACAAAATTTAACCCAGTTTAAAAATGTTAAAATGTTTAATTGTTGCTTGTGTGGACATGTAGGTACAGAAGGCCATATTCTGGCTCATTTCCTTTCCTGCTTCTAGCTTTGTGACTGTTAGCAAGTCGTCTCCCAAATCTGCCCCCTGGTTTCCTGGTATAACAGAGTAATGACGGGCACCCAGGTGGCTCAGTTGGTTGAACGTCCAACTTTTGGTTTTAGCTTGGGTCATGGTCTCGGGATCATGGGATTGGGCCTCCGTCAGGCTCCAAGCTCAGCAAAGAGTCTGCTTGTCCCTCCCCTCTGGCCCTCTCCCTGCTCATGCGTGCTCTCTCTTTCTGTTTAACATAAATAAATAAAATCTTTAAAAAAAAAAACAGAGGGTAATGATAATATCTGATGTTTGTTGTGAAGATTAGGTGGAATGATAATGTACCTTGGGTACATATATCCCTGGACAAAAATATAGAGGTACAAACCTGTTAACAAGAGGCTCCATTCAGGAAGTTCATAAGTGGATTACACTGAGCAAGAGAGCAAGAAGCTTGATGTCATGCAGAGGCCAGAGCTGAGATCTGTAACTGATCACTCTGATGTCCTTTCAGGATGGTGCACTGCTAAAAGATTCTCCTTATCTCCTTTTTCTGTTTTCCCCACAGATGATCTTAGTAGCCATATTTTCAGAAACTGGATTTTTTGATTATTGTGCTGTAAAGGTAGGTTTGATGTGACATTTAATATTTATGTATTAATTAATTAATTATTTGCCATGACATATTCAGTTAATAAAACTACCATTTAAAGCAAATATTTTAAAGTTCATTCTCATTTTCAAAATCACAGATGTAAGCCTGGGTACAGTTGCTGTGCAGAGTTGGTGGCTCTGAGCAACACTTTCTTCTCAGTAAACTGAAGAAGGAGATCAAAGAAAAGAATATTTGAGTCGAATGTTTGTGTAACATTAGTTAAATTGGCAAGTTGAAAGCTACATATCAAATATTGTTTTGCATTTTAGACCATCTAAATATTTCAAGTCATCAGTTTCTGATTACTTGCTTTTTGGTGAAATAATTTCAGTGATCACTTTCTAATCATTGAACATATAAACATTCACTTTTGTACCTGGAATCCTGAGGAATCCACCAGCAAGTTCTGACAGCCAGACTGCACTGGTGCTGTCACTCAGGGTTGGTGAGAGGAGATCTTGCCATGCTCTCCTAATGCAAAGGCTAATGTTATGCTTGATTTTTTTTTTTTGAACTGGAAAGTTCTTTTAAAAGATTATTTACTCATCAAACCCTTTTGCAAACTCTGAATGATAGAACTATGCTATGATTTTTGCCATCTTTGTGTACCCTCTTGCACCTTCAAATATCTGGTCTCCTCTCAATATTGGTACTAAAAGTCCGTAAATCTAAGTTGCCAACAATCATTAGGTTTAAGGGTCGCAGCCCAGTCTGTCTAACCAAAAGGAGATTGTAAAATACTGGGTAATGTTAAAGGGATAGAGGGCTATAACACTGTAATCAGTGAACCATCACAGGGCACTGTGAGAAGGAGAATCAGAAGGAAGGAACGTAGGTCAATGTGGGTTCAGAATGTTCAGGTACAAGATATCACTTCCTCATCTTAGCAAATTTAGGAATTCATGGGTCTAAGTTTTAATCCACCATGCAGTGTTTTTTTTGGACCCCTAGTTCTTAGAATCCCTAATGAAAAGTCACATTTATTCTTCAACCCCACTGATCCTGGCTTGTTCCTTTCTGTGTGTGTGCATCTCAGACGTACCGACTGTCTAGGGGAAGAGTGTGGGCCATGATCATCATGTTGTGTCTCATTGCTGCTGTCCTGTCTGCCTTCCTGGACAATGTCACCACATTGCTGCTTTTTACTCCTGTGACCATAAGGTATGCAGAGTGGCCCTGCATGGGCATTAGGCCAGGCTCATGGTGGTGTATTCTTGCTGCTCAATCTAGTCCCCACTTTCCCTTTGCTGGTGTGCCCTGGTCTAGCCTGTGCATCCCTTGGGACTGTGGTGCTCAGTGCTCTTGGCTAAGGCTATGGTTTCAGCTGTGGCTGTGACAGCAGTGGTGGTGGCCACAGAAACACCTGTGGGAGTCAGAAGACTCCGGCTTTGCTGTCCAGGGGTGGGGGACAGACTGTTAGGTGCCAGAAGTTCTTGTCCATTGGGCTGGTCACAGGTGTGACAGAGCAGTGTGGGAGCTCCTGCCATGTGGGGAGGAGCATGTAGCCAGGGGCTGGGGAAAGCGGGGCAGCCATCTTGCTCTCACCAGGCTCCTTGGAGGGTTGCAGGACCTGGCCTGACAAGGCTTTGCAGGGTAACTTTGGGAGAGAGAGATTCATTTTGATTCCCCATTTCATTCCTTTGAATTCCATCCACTTCATTAATTAGACATTTATTGAGCATCAGAGGCCATTTGCCCTGAATCTTCTGAAGCTTGAGCTTCAGACCCAGTCATGCAGGCTCCTTGCAAGGCCATGGGCCTATACTTTTATCCATACTTTTTTTTTTAAAGATTTTATTTATTTATTTGAGAGAGAGCACAAGTGGGGAGAGGGGCAGAGGGAGAGAGAGAATCTCAAGCAGACTCCATGCTGAGCATGGAGCCTGATTTGGGGCTGGATCTCACAACCCTGAGATCATGACCTGAGCTGAAATCAAGAGTTGGACACTCAACCGATGAGCCACCCGGGTGTCCCCTTTTATCCATACTTGATGTTCTTTATTTTGAAGATGGTTCCCCAGCATATCATGGTCCTTCCCTGCTTAGGCCTCTCATGTCCTGGTATTCGGCTGGTCCTAGGGAAACAGGTACCCCCTGGGGGTTCAGGGGACCAAGCTACATAATGAAGGGCCCCAGACAAGTCACTTTAGCTACACTGATCTGGGTTGTACCATCAAAGGGACTAACCCAAGCTAGTGTTTTGAGGATTCTGCTGGACAAGAGACCCTCCTGGACACGAGACATAAGACATAGCAAGTTCAAAGTGATCAATAAGGGGCTACTTCCAGGGCTCAGGACTAATTCTAGGTGATGCCTTTGGCATTTGAAGAATGGCGACTCTCTGAGGTGGAGTGAATTGGAGCAGAGGGGAGGGGTTTGGGGAGAGGAGCAGCGAGCAGGCAGCATCCCCATGGGTGCTGTCTACAGTGTGGAGAGTTGGTCTCTTGGCCAAGCTCCTGCAAACTTGGCTGCCTTTTCACTCCCCGCATGTAGGCAGGGATTTGGGGTGAGGGACACTGGAGCTTCCTGTGAGGGGAGTGTAACACCTCCTAGTATGTGGGGTTCTTCTGAGGGCAAATGAAGGCTGGAACGAACGTGTTTCAAGGGTGCTGTAAACTGTACCATGTACTACTAATGGCAGATACCAAACTCTGCCTCGAGGAGACCTCAGGGGGCAAGAGGCAGGCCATACTCACCCCCTCCTACCAAGGCGACTCTGCTGCTGTCACTGGTTTGAAAACAGTAGTATCACCCACAGACGCCAGGTCCCAGTGTATCGTTGTACTCTCTGATGGCAGCTCCAATGAGAGCGGGCTTCCAGGGGGGCATCCATATTCCTGGCATCCCCAAGCCTTGCTGGGATTTGTTTATATCCTCACTGTTCCAGGAACCAACTTTGTAATTTTCTGTGAGAGTAGCAATTCCATTTACTAGTCTAAAAACTGCATCTTTGAAGATTCAAGCGTTAGTGTGCTCAGATTCACTATTTATATTACCATATTCTTCATGACTTTATGAGCTTAATCACATTCTTCTGCCTTTGTCTGGAGTAGCATTAGTCTTCACAGTTAAAGAGTTAGACCCATTTACATAGGATGCCATCTCTATGCTTGCTCCAGCATTATTGATTAGTGTACACTAATTATTTTCTTGCTGGAGCCGGATCCTGGGAGCTCCCTCAGCTGAGAGCTGCTGCTGCTGCTGCTGTTTGGGGTCTGATCCTCTTTTTGGATTCATTCCTGTCCCTGGTCCCTGGATACCATTCCCTCCTCAGCTTCCACGCATGGCTCTGTAGGCTGACCCCCCTCAGATGTGCTATTGGTTATGCTCTGAGCTGGGAGGTGGTGGGAAGGACCCCTGACTGCAGCAGCCTGGAGACCCAAGGCCTGGTTTCTATATGGAAGTGGGTGCTGCAAATGGACAGGTGTGGTGAGCCATGATGTGTTTCCTAAACCTTCTTTAAGGCAACATTTTTCAACTTCATGCTCACTGGATCCACCTAAGGAGCTGTAGAATGCTGCTCCTCAAGCCTACTCCCAGGGATTGGTCTGTCATGGGCTGGACAGCAGGACTTGCAAAGGTTCCCAGACAAATCTAGTGTTCAGCCAAGGCAGGGACCCACAGCTGTAGAGTGTGTGCTCCTTCTCTCTGGAAGAGGTCCACAGGTAGTAGTTAGAGGGAAGGGGCTAGGAGACACATTAGGGCCTCAGCATCTGAGAAAGGGAAGGTGGGTAAGGAATTAGGCTGGTAGGCTTGATGTGAGCTACTGAGTGTTGGTGCTTTGTGTGCTGCCCCACCCCTGACTCCGAGGAGTCTGGTGGTCAGCACCAATTTACATGTGCCAGGGCCTGCACACAGGGAACTGTGCTCCCTCCAGATCTGGGCCGGGGGTGGTTTCTGATGGGGGTACATTTTCACACTGATGGTTCAGATGGGTAGTCAGTTAACTTTCAGAGAAATGCAATGCTGAGGGCCAACTGTAGCTCTGTAAACATTGTTGTCTTTGTTTATTCCTCAGCATTGCATTTCTTATAGGGGTGTGTGTGTGCGCGCATGCACGTGCACGCCTGTCTTGATTAAGCAAGTGCTTTGAAAATATTTAGGTTGCACATGGGCCTGTCACAATTGAATAGCATGGCTACTTTTATTTTCGTCCATTTGTGACAGGTTATGTGAGGTGCTCAACCTTGATCCAAGACAAGTCCTGATTGCAGAAGTGATCTTCACAAATATTGGAGGAGCTGCCACTGCCATTGGGGACCCACCAAATGTCATTATTGTTTCCAACCAGGAGTTGAGGAAGATGGTATGTATGTACCAGTGTAACAGGGTTGCTTTTAATAAATATAGATCCCAACTTACTTGCCCATTTAGCATTCTACCCAATGTGGAAGCTTTTATTAGAAACTAAGCTCTTCCATATCACTTCTTCATATTAAGTGCTATTGGTTATCTTGAGAGGGGAGGTTAGGTGACTGATCCTGCAGTGTAGAGTGAGGTGGTCTGATGATGGATAACATTATCTACTTAGTCATAGTATATTATATTAATGGGAACTGAGGTTTCTTCCAACTAATATTAAGAATAAAATGATCTGTCCCCTTGCATTTTTCAACTGTGGTGGATGAATTTACTGAAGAATTTAAGATTTTTTTTAAAAAGGATCATAAAATGAAGGTCTTTAGGAATTTTTTGAAAGCTCTTATAAATATTAATATATAATTTCTTTGTACACTAAAGGAAAAACAAAGTACTAGAGAGTGAAAATGATATTTTATTTATATTAAAAGAATTAAAATTAAAATTATATAGTTTCCAATTAACATTCTTTGGTCATTAGAATTTTCTCAATATTTCTTCTGTGAAGTATTAGCAAAAATGCTTCCAAATTGGTATCATTTATTGTAGATGATGTGTTTCTGTGTGGGTCTGTGAAGTGTGTCAGTGTGTTTGTGCATGCGTGCTGTCTTCTGTAAAAATATTTAAACTTTTGGGAGCTCATGGCTCTGAGATGTTGATGGACATTTTGTAGACCCACCATATTCTAGAGATTCAGGGTATAATTTAGATGCTTTGTCTGAACTGTAATACTTCCTAGTTACCATGGGAAATTGGCTGGCAACACTTTACCAGGCTTGCTTCATGAACTGAGCAGTATGCCCATTATCATGTTACCCTGGAGCACATCAGAAGTTGGCAGAGCCCTATAATCTGTTCTAGGGGCTCCTATCATCCAGGGTGGGCCTCATACACATTGGAGAGAACTATTTTTAGAGAAAAATGCTGTTTTATTTTTATTTTGCAGTAATACCTTTATTGTAGAAAATATAAATCATACATACAAAATTTAAAAATTGCCATAATCTCACCACTCAGAGATAAATCCTCTTAATGTTTTGGTGCATCTAGTCTCCCAGAACATTTGTATGTGGATACACATGGATAAAAAAAGATAACACAGCTTCTGCTCTGGCCAAGATAGAGTAACAGGGACTGGATTTGCCCACTTGCTTGAGATATCCCAAAAGAAAATTAACGAAAATCCAAAAAACAAAACCCCAAACAAAACCAGACAGTGATAAGCAAGAAACTGGATAGCAGGCAAAAAAAAAAAAAAGGACAGTGATCCCTGAGAATGGAGAAACAAATGAGGTGAGCCCTATGATTGCCCCAGTTTGCTGCCTTGAGAGAGTTTCTAGGATGTAGTACAGGGATGGAAAACCCATGTGGAGCCCTTCAGACTCCCTGAATTGAGGGGATAGAACTGAGAATCTGGAGCGACCAAAGCTAAGATGGCTTCTTTGGTGAAATCTACATATATTTAAGGAAGAAATAATGCTATAATACCAATTATACATAAAGCTTTACAGCAAATTGAAGAAAAGAGAATACTTTCCAACTCATTCTATGGGGCCCTGATACCTAAACTGGACAAAACCAGTATGAGAAAACTATTAATAAGTATTTCTTATGAACATAGATTTTTAATTTTTAAAAGTAAATTTTTAAAAATTAGCATATCCAACTTAATAATACATAAAATGGATAATATGTCATAACCAAGTAGAATTTATAATATTTGAAAAGCCAATTAATGCAATTTACTAACAAACTAAATGAGAAAATTCATATGATCATCTCAATGGAAAAATAACTGGCAAAATAGAACATTCATTACTGATTAAAGTCTCTCAATAACTAGAAAAATAAGAGAACTTCATCAGCCTAATAAGGAGCACCTATGAAAATACATCTTACTTAAATGTGAAAATTGAATGCCTTCTTTCTTTCTTTTTTTTTTTTTTTTAAAGATTTTATTTATTTGACAGAGAGAGATACAGCGAGAGAGGGAACACAAGCAGGGGGAGTGGGAGAGGAAGAAGCAGGCTTCCCGCTGAGTGGGGAGCCCGACGTGGGGCTCGATCCCAGGACTCTGGGATCATGACCTGAGCCGAAGGCAGACGCTTAACGACTGAGCCACCCAGGCACCCCGAATGCCTTCTTTCTTAGATCAGAAGTAAGACAAAGATGTCTGTTCTCACCACTTCAGTGTATCATTTTACTGGAGGCTCGAGCTGATACAATAAGGCAAGAAAAGAAATACAAGGCATCCATATCAGAAAGGAGGAATTAAAAGTCTTTATCTTCATATGATATAACTGTCCATGTTAGTTACGGACATTTCTAGAATCTATGTTGCAGTCTGAAGGACTGAAGGACTGCAACATAGATTCTAGAAATAATAAGTAAATTTGACAAGTGTGCAATATAAGATCAATATAGAAAAATTAGTGGTTTTCTATATTCTAGCAATAAACAATTGGAAATTAGCATCAATATATAAAATACTTTAGGGTAAATCTGACCAAACATATGCAAGACCTGTATACTGAAAACTATAAAATATTGCAGAATAATTAAAGAAGATCTAATTAAATGGAGAGAGATACTTTGTTCATGGATCAGAAGACCCAATATTGTTAATATATCAATTCTTCACAGATTGATCCACAGATTTATGCAATCCCTGTCAAAACCATAGCAGAGTTGTTGTTGTTTTTGGTAGAAACTGATAAACTGACTCTAAAATTTATATGGAAATTCAAAGTGTTCAGAATGGCCAAAAATAACTCTTAATGGGAAGAACAAAATGGGAGGGCTAACGCTACCTAACTCCAAGACTTACTATAAAACCACAATAACCAAAACATCGTGGTATTGGCATCATTACTGGTAAATAGGTAAATAGGTAAAAAGTAGAGAGTCTGGATACAGACCCCCACATCAATGAATAATTGCTTTTGACAAAGGAGGAAAGCCAATTCAGTGAAGAAAGGATTATTGTTTGTTTTTTCCCCCACAAATGGTCCTGGAACAAAAGGACATCCCTATGTAGGAAAAATGAAAATCAATCCACACTTCCCACTTTGCGCAAAAATTAACTCAAAAGTTACATACACAAAATGTAAACAAAAAGTTTACATATACAAATGTAAACCCTAAAACCTTAAAAGTTCAAATAGAAAACAATTTGTAGTAGAATGGGTATAGAAATAGTTCAAGTGAGAACATGGCTACTTTATTTCATTAGACTGTTTTTTAGAACTTGGCTTTCAGTGTCTGTTATTTGTCTCTTCTTTTTTTCTTCTTCTTAAGACAACATATTAATGAGTTAATGCAACAGTTTAGCTGCCCCTGGCCAGCATCACATTAGTATTAATGTAAAATCCCGAGCATGATGTCTTTCTTGGACATAAACTGAGTTAACTCTGCAACATTTTAAGCACTCCCTTAGAGTCCTAGGTCTGAATGCTCTGAACTAAACAGTAGAATGTGACCCAAGACAGGCTCTGAGTCCTGGGCCTCTACCAAGTCATATAGAAAGCTAAATGGAAAGAGTGGTCTGTCAGACTATTCCCACATTCCTCCATGACATGCTGACATGCTGTTGTAAATATTCCAGAATTTAAATATAACAGTAAAGGAGAAAGGTCAGGTTTTTGCAAAAATACACAGCAGGCCCTGGAGGTGAGCTCCCTCTCTGCACTGAGGCTCAGCCTAGGATCCTCACACAGCTTTGTGCCAAAGTGACATCCTCTGGAGACATGGCCTTAGGGCTCTCCTTGTTTTATTGAAGATGGAGTTCCTTGTCTTCCACTTAATGACTTGAATTTTGGGGTTAAACTGTATTTCACAGAAAAGGTATCTAACGAATGTCCTTTTGTGGATAACCAAGAGTGGTTTCAATTTATTTTATAGAAGCTTAGAGATAAGGGAATACTTATTTGTATAGAGAATGCAAATGAACTCATAGTTTCAGGGATAGTGTCTTCAGCAGAGATTAATTTATAAAGACTCATTATCAATGACAGCACAGCCATACATTTGTGTGCACATTTATTCTGCATTATTTAGTTATTTTTATAAAATAAAAATTAATTGTGAAATTAATTTTTAAAATACTCATGAAGAAAGTTAATACTCAATATGAAGTTTAGGGGAGTAATAAAAAAACTCTTAGGGGAGTAATAAAAAAAAAAGTACTGGACTTTGGAACACATGAGAAAATTCTTCCACATTCTCTGAGAATTAGGAAGAAGTTACAGGAAGTTATGAGGAAAGTTCTTCTACCATACCCTTTCCACACACTGTTCACTCCTACCCCATTTCTTGGGATGGCTCTCTGTTGGTGGGATTTCCAGTGCTGAATAGTTAGGTAGGGAAGACTTCCAGGGTCCTCCTACACTGTAGGATTCCATGAGCAACAGTGTGCTGTCCCTTTATCTCCCAACAGGCTGATGGGGATATAATCCTCCTTCACTGGTTACATTTACTCCTTTATGCCTATTCTATGGAGACTCACCAGTGGTGAACATGGCTATTTTTTTTAAGAGGGGGGAGGGGCAGAGGGAGAGGGAGAGAGAATCTTAAGCAGGCTCCACGCCCAGCATGGAGCCCATATGGGGCTCGATCTTACAACCCTGAGATCATGACCTGAGCTGAAATCAAGAGTTGGACACTTAACTGACTGAGCCACCCAGGCGCCCCTTAACTATGTTTTAAATAACAGTTGAAAAATCTGTATAAAGGAGCTGTATCCCCTGTGCTTCTGAATGACATCTCACAGGTCAGAAGAAGGCCTTCTTCATGGTGCCCCAGAGATGTGTACACTGGGATGGTCCTCTGGGCTTTCCCACCATGCGCTGTGCATGCTGGGGTGTTCTTTTGCTGCTCTTCCACCACCAATTTCTTCCACTCCATCAACTGATTAGCTTAGATGGTGTCACTCTCTGCTGCTTCCTGCTCTGCCTTTCTGGTCACTTCCTCTTTGTCTCCTTTGTGGGTTTTCTGCTTCCACATGGCTCTTCAATTTCTGTGGACCTTGGGGTTCTGGTTTTTTGACCATCTTTCCTCTTGGGTCAGCATTCTGTAGCAGAGCTCATGCCCTCATGGTCTGCTCTGTTTTCCATGTACTGGGATCACCCACTTCCACATGTCTGCAGAACATGGAAGGTTCTTACCTCCCTCAGATCCATGTATGTGTATGTCATGACTTCTCCTCTACATACTCGATGTATCCCTCACATGCAGGATGTCCCACACCAGATCCTGTCATCATACCCTCTTCTATAGCACTAGGAGTCTTCTTGTTGAGTCTCCAGACATGATTCTATCTTCAAATTACACCATGATATTTACTAAGACAGTCAGCAGATTCAGCTAAGCCTTACAACTCAACTGACTGTTTTGACTTGTCCCAGAGTTAGCCTGAAAGCGTCCTAGAAATACCGGTGGGCCAAAGTTACTCAGCTGGATCCTCCTTGAATATATGTAGTGTAAGAGGCTGGGGATGTTCTAATCTGATTCTGGGGGGATCCTCTTTTCATAGTTTTACATGCCTCAAATTTTGGCCACTTCCACTGTTGAGTGAAGACTTTGTGGAAAACTAAGAAGAAAGTAGCTGAGTGGAGCCAAAACCAAAACAGTACAAAACAAGACTGAAAGGGGCAAAATAGAACCAGCACCCTATAAGAAAGGGCTGCATTTAAGCATTGTATTGATGGAAGTATAATAGTGGGTGGTTTTGTTACTGAGGACATTAAGGAGAAGAGTGTTGGAAATTACAGAGGCGTGTAAAGCAGCAGGGAAGCCCAGATACATGCACCTAATAAGCTTAATGAGAATATTTATATTCCATGATATATTGCATCTGCCTATATTATTTCTTAAATTTTTCACCTGGGATTCTCCCGCTCTGCTTTGTTCTCACTTGATAAATCCACCCATTACAACTCTAGTAGCAACCAAATACTTCCACTCAAAGCTGTGTTGTTTTGTTGTGGAGCCCCTTCCAGGAACTCCTTAGTCCTTTTCTTTCTTTAATTTACCCCTCACCTTTTTTTCCAATTGTCCCATCATTTCTAACAGGACAAAAATTTATAGTTAATATGTGCAAAAGAGGATCCAGAATTACTCAGGATACAAGTACCTCTGCTTTAGTGGGCACCTTCCTTCAAAAAATATTAATTACCTTCAGGGATCATCTGTATATATCTGCTGAATGTATAAGCACAGAGTAAAAGAGACAAAACCAGCTAATGAGGCTGCTAACTTATTCCGTGACAGATTAACCTAGTGGGGGATTTTACCCCAAAACATCCTCAGCAGCTGACAATGGCAAATAGTTCTGCAGAGAGGCAAAGGAAGTGTGAGGGGAGGGAGAAGCTCCTGCATGGGCCCCTTATGGCCAGTAGGGACACTCTGGGCCACCTCAGTCCTGATGGCCATTGGCTGCCCTGCAGAGGGCTGTGCTCTCCAGCCAAGGAAGTTCTTTCACATTGATAGCAGGGACTTAAATGAAATATTTAAAAAACACAACTTACCTTTAAATGGACAAATATTGCCACACAGTTTTATGTTTTGCCCCCATTGTGTCTTTTTTCACCCTGGACGAATGTGTCAGTCCAGTGGTGAAGGTAGACCCAGTTAATGTTGAGATTGTCTGTGATAACTGTTTTTGTTTTCTCCTAAGGTTGCTTGTTATTCGGTAGGGATTGGTTTATTGACATGAAAGAAACAAACCTTAAACATTTTCAAAATTGTAGAGAAGAGCACCTGTTCTGTGGGTTTTGTGCGGGGCCCTGTGACCCTTGAGCTAACACCCACCACCCTGATGTGCCTGCCCCTGCTGGGTCTCAGAGCTCAGCCCTCCCTGGATCCGTCATTTGGGGGGGTCCTAAATTGGAAGCTATGCCTATGCAGAGGAGAATCTCATCTGTTATTTCATTTCCCCTTTCCTGTTTCCAGGGCCTGGACTTCGCAGGATTTACTGCACACATGTTCGTTGGGATTTGCTTCATTCTCCTGTTCTCCTTTCCACTCTTCAGACTCCTTTTCTGGAACAAAAAGCTTTATAACAAGGAACCCAGTGAGATTGTTGGTGAGTATAAGCACCTCCTCGTGTAGCCTCAGAGTATACTATCATATTATTATTTTCTAGAGGAAGTTGCCACAGAAAGGCAGGAGGTTTCTTACATGTAGAACATCAGAGCGCTGTGAATTGTGTAAGACTGAGGAATCACAGACCTGTACCTCTGAAACAAATAATACATTATATGTTTAAAAAAAAGATAGTAGAAAGGGAAAAATGAAGGGGGGCAGAAATTGGAGGGGGAAGAAACCATGAGAGACTGTGGACTCTGAAAAACAAACTGAGGGTTCTAGAGGGGAGGGGGGTGGGAGGATGGGTTAGCCTGGTGATGGGTATTAAAGAGGGCACGTTCTGCATGGAGCACTGGGTGTTATGCGCAAACAATGAATCATGGAACACTGCATCAAAAACTAATGATGTAATGTATGGAGATTAACATAACATAATAAAATTAAATTAAAAAAATATATTGGTCTAAAAAACCCCAAAACATCAGGGAAGTGTCGGTCACTGGGATGCTGCATGCTCAGTATGTTCCCGTCTGCCTCCTGGTATGCTCTGTGCTTTCAGGGGCTTTAAATTCATGGGCCTTTCTTCTTTAATTTTCTTTAGGGTGAAATGTGGGAAGCAGTGGCCACTGTATATAGTTTGCATGTCATGACATCATTAAACCACGTGTATACAACACTAGTAGTGTAGCATGGAGACTGTAGTGTTCAATCATACTTTGAGATTAAATGTGGTTACAAAAATAGCAACATAATCCAGCACAGAGGACACTGTACTATGTCAATCAAGAATGTATTGATGAGGCACCAGCCAGCAGAAAGAGGGCTCATGACAATCTTATGACTTTGCATTTTCCTTAAAAATTTTAGTAAATTTTTATTGAGAACATTACCATCAGGATATAACAGAAGCAATAATTTATTTGGGAAATAGCCAGCCCGTCCTCCTGTAGAGCACAGAACCATGCAGGTTGCCTGGGTAACAGAGCGTATCTGGGTGACAGGAGCAGAGTGACAAAGGTGCATTTCTTTGTGGCTTCAGATGGCGTGGTGCCCTCACAGAGCTCATCCTGTTATTCCTGTCCTTGTGTTGTACAGGACTTCAGGTTTTCTTTATTTTTAGTAAGATAAACAAATACCATTTCTGTATGAAAAGCTGAGGATCTAAGTGTATTCTTATCGGTCCTCCTGCTCATCAGGTGGTGACTGTACAAGGCAGATTGGCATTTTTTCATGAGTGATTTTTGTATTCAGAATTTGACTATTTTTGTTCTAGTTTGGAAAACATTGTCTTATATACCCTCTCAAGAGTCATCTATGTAAAATAAGCTTGTTCTTAGTGAAATTTAGCCACCCAGCTCTCCCAGAGGAATGGAATGATAAGCAGAAATTTCTATTTTAGGCAATACTTATTGACCACATGCACAAAACACAGGAGTGTCCTTGTGGCTATAGAAATGGTACTTTAAACATGCTCAAGGGTGCTCTCAGCCTAGCTCCAAGTGAAGGTGATGTAAGTGCAGGACAAGTGGGTACATTCCCTGTGCTTCAGCTGCTCAAGGGGCAGAAGGATTGGCATGGGTACCACCCAACAGGACCTGCATGTGGGGGGTAAGCCCAGGGTGGGGGACTGGAAGGAAGAGGGGGTGCAGGCACAGGTGTTGGGGGACAAATAGAATAGTCCTTTTGGCTGCAAGGTTGTGATAGCTTCCTGCTAATATAGCGTAGTTTACTTCTTTTGGAGAAAGACTGTATTTTCTTGATAGCATTGATAATTCCTCATCTCTGGCAGTCTACAGAGCAGGCCATGTGCCTTTCTTGAGAAAATAGAGTCCCAGATCCTGCTGTCCTCTTACAGCTTTATAATGGGGGAAACAACTATACATGATCCCATTACTTCCCTGTTTTGAAGAAAACTTTAATCAATATTGGCTTTAAAAACAACGATATTTCTGGCAGTGAGATGCCTTGATCCACTTTTGCCACTGATGAATATATTAGTTTTCTAGGACTGCAGTAACAAAGTACCACAGACTGAGTGGCTTAAACAACAGATGGCTTATTTCTACAGATGCTAAGAGGACTTATAAACCAGAACAGGTGGCTTATTTCCTCACAGTTGTGGAGGCTTGAAGTCCAAAATCAAATTGCTTGCAAGGTTGGTTGGCTCTGAGGAAGGATCTGTTCCAGGCCTCTCTACTTGGCTTTTAGATGGCCATATTCGTGTTTATGCGGCTTTCTCCTTGTGTGTGTCTGTGTCCACATTTCCCCCATTTATAAGGACACCAGTCATCTTGGATTTGAGGCCACCCTAATGACCTCAACTTAACTAATTACACCTACAACAACCCTATTTTTTTAAATTTTATTTTATTATGTTATGTTAATCACCATACATTACATCATTAGTTTTTGATGTAGTGTTCCATGATTCATTGTTTGCATATA